ATTTACATCCTTCTTCCTATGACTTAGAACATACAATAAAATCTATTTTACTATTTCCGAACTAATTAATTTCAACTTTGATATAAAAAGCTGTAGTCACAAAAAAAACCTGCCACTAAGAATCTGCGAATTGAATAATTAACTGCTAGTTTTACATTCTACTCTTCGTACTCACATGTTTTTCTATTTTTAATATTCGTTAAATCGGGTTGTGCGATAGACTTACCTTCACGTGGTGCACCCTGGGCAACGTATACTCATACAACAAAAAAGTATATTAACTGGCAGTTGGCTTATCACTTCAGCTACCATCACCTCACTATATGTCATATTCGACCCCTTCCGCAGTACTCATTTCACCTTTTTTCTACCTTTATGTCCGTCTCTTTTACATCTTTGAAACACCCTTCTTTCCTCCCCCCTCTCGACTTTTTTTCACAGTACTCACCTTACTTTTTCTCTATCTTTGTGTCTGTCTGCCTCTTTTACATCTGTAAATCGCTCTTCCGTTCCCCGCCCCTCGACTTTCTGCTACTTTGATGAACATTCCCTCTGTGAAGCCTGAAGTCAACTATAGGGCTAATGATAACCATCAAAACGCCTGCCATTTGATATAAATAAATAAATAATCGTTAATTCTCTTTTATATTACTAATAGGTTTTTATTTTATTTTGCATTGCAATTATTTTACTCTAGTTTCGTCATGCTCTATTACAAAATGGGGCAAAAACACAGGTTCTCCAGCATGTTAAAATTTCAAATGTTTCATGCGAAAAATTTGAGCGAAAATTGAAAGAAAACAATATCAAAATATAAATGTTGTCAAGGGAGAGCATTTTTCAAGTTTGCTCAATTTATTTTCTCCTTGGTACATCTCTTTTATGTCGTACCTTCGTCAAATTTCCTTTGCGGTTTTCTTGAAACTCTACGGATGGCTCCATGTTCTATTATGGTGACCTCTTCCCCACAGATTCAGTTTACTTTTCACATTAGTAAATCCAACTAATTTTTAATGGCCAGCACAATAGAAGTTCCCAAAATCCCCCTTTAAGTTCTTTTGTCATCTTCCCTTCACATTTTCCATTGAAAGTATCCTATTGCTTTCTTTTTGCTCGCTTTGTGAGTTTAAAATAGAACAAATCGTTAACTACTGCTTTTTGAAGAATTCTAGCTTTCTCTGTCTTGTTGACTACCTTTATCTTTGATTAAAGGTCCGTTTTACTGGAGCTAATGACAAATATCATAAGGCCTGCCATTTGAAAAATGTTCTGGTTTATTGAGTAGTTCAGAAAGCTGATTCCTTCTCTTCCCATTTCTTTACAATTATTCAATATATATATATATATATATATATATATACAGATTGAAGACTCTTTAAATTTTAAACAATAATTTTAACAGTGATCAATTAGTCGGCTATTATGGATTTAGAACCTGTCAGGGAATTACCAGCCCCTGAATCGATAAATGGCGCCAACTATTCCCGAGGGGCCTCAGAAAGTGTGTCTGCTGTTCTGGATTGAGTGAATGCAAAAAATAAATTCACAAATGCAATATGCAAATTTTCAATGAATTTGTGCTGGAGGTTATAACAGAGACAATAGTTACCTTTCATCAAACGAAATAATTACTTATTAAAATAGGTTTCAGATAAATATATTAATACCTTATTTCGAAAAAAAGATAATTTACCCCTTAGACATCCTAACTTATATCCCGCATATCATTGCACCTCTTTTCAACATTTTGGGTGAGAAAAAACTGAGCTATCATTTAATTTAATGCATGAATTGCACTCAGTCAATTTAACGTGTAATTCATTCTTTCATTTTCCACAATTTAGGAAAGATTCGAAATTTACATGGGGTCCAGCAAAGTTAACTGTTTGCCAATTAGTGGATTAAGTTGGATGATATTTATCTGATAAAAAAATGAAGTTCATTTTTAGAATGATTTGGGTAAAATCTACAACAATTTCTACGATGCCAACGCTTAATAGAAAACGGTTTTTGGTATTTGACTGTTTATTGCATTATACAAAAAATGCTTGACAATAAATAGTGAGATGGATGATGAATTTTTCATATATTTAATATTAAATGGCGTAAATAAGTTGAAATTACGTTTGTTTAGCATAAAGATTGATTAAAGGTCTTCATTAGCATTTGAAACATTTTTTTGCTAAATCTACTAACTCACTAAATTGGGTTCCTTTCCATCTGCTTTCGTAAAAGTTTGACCTTGACTGGCAAAATAGTTTTTGACAAAGTTTTCAATTTTTTTCTTTGTTTCTAGATCTTATCCACATGCCCGTAAATTCTCAGCATTTAACAAGCCCACCTTCTGTACTTATTGCATGCTTTTGCCGTTAGAATTAGAAAATCGCCAATACTGCCCAATACATTTAGGCATCTACCTTTTACCAACTGGGATTGTGGACACAGTTTTATTTCCCACCTACACACTTCTCATGTCTCAACCTGTTGATCATATTTTCGAACACGGAGCGAGCGGCTGGAATATACATGTTAGCTTGACCAACTTCAATTTATAATAATTTAGGTTTTGGGTCTCAAATATGTCGTTCGGGATAATTATACAACAGTCTGTTCAAATCCAAGTATATACATAAGGGAATATTTGAAATTAATTACCTATAGGATACTTTAATAATACCGTCATTGACATGATTTGGAATGCACAAAAAAAAACAATTATTTACTTCCATATCACCGAAATCATGTTTGGACGTTTTTTGAAAATCAAGCAGAGGAATGACCAAGAGTGGCTTTAATTATCATTCAATTCATTTGCATTGACTTGATATTTCCTGCTGCGTTTATTACATATTCACCTAACCGGTGATCCGCTGGTTGATGTTGATCCGTTGAGTGCTCCTGCTCTCGATGCCGTCTATGGAAAAAATGGAAGGCAAAGAAGAGAAGAGACGTCACTAGAGCTAATCCTGCAGCTCCAAAACAGATAAAAAGCCAAGTATTGACGTGGCCTTGGTATAGATTAGTTGTTTCGCCGGTAATTATTTCAGATGACTGTTCCCCTGATGGAAATTGAGTCCATTCTTTTATAATTTGTGATTTTGTGCCGGTTGGGAACGAGGGTGTCTTTGGAGGAGCTGGAAGTGGAGTAACTAAATTTGCTATATTATTCATGGAAGAGTCCTCATCATGATAGGAGTTGACTTCCAGATCTTTTAAATCGGAGCTTGGTAATCTGCAGAATACAAAAAACACATATAATGTAACTGAAATTTACTGAATGCTTCTATCGAAGTCGATTATATCCTTTGCTGGCTAAATACTATTATTACACTTCTTTTTACTAATTGGCATTTTCCTTTAAAATATCACACTTAAATATTGGAAGATTGCAGAGCTCGACTGCACAAGTTAAAGAGGTTTTTCGAAGATTATTTTTTGCCGGTAGAATAAATAAAATTTTTAAAATATAGTTAATTAATGAGCTTTTAAGTATGGGATATATTTAGTAAGGTTTCCCGTTACGAAGAGGCGTCTTGTAATAGTCAGTTATTTCTCATAGAATGACTATTATGGTATATTTCAATTATTACAAGCATTAATTCAATCATATTTTCCCGACAAATATTGATCAAACTATTTGCCCTTCAATAATTATTCCATGACTTTTAATTCCTCCAATTTCACCGGAGCAAAGCGATGCTTTAGAAATAATAAACAACGATTTATTTTAAGGTAGTTTGAATTTAGTTAAAGGTAAGAAATGTTAAATGTAAATTCACTGTCTAAAATAAGGATTTGCGCCGAGTTGAATTTGGAAATTTGCAAGATATTGCGTGGACGGATGCCTAGTAACATGTACATCTTCCCTCTGCGAAAGACCAGCTGCTAACTCGCACAACAGTAGTCCATTGTAGAAGACGCCTTAGGAAAGGTAAGAGGTGGAACAATCAATTAATGTTGGGAATTTTAAAATTATGTTCTCCAAAGACATACCTGAAAGAATACCGAGAAACGGGTTAGTGGCATTGCCGGTAGCTGGAGAATGTCCCAACCAAATAGACTTCTGGTTATTAAACTGTTCTCCCTGAATACCTTCAATGGGGATAATCATTACGAACCATTAAACTTCAAAATCATTTTATTGCAATTCTAGACAACAATCTCAAAATTATCACAAAAATAGAGGCACGGGGATGATGTAAAGGTAAATCCGAAGACGCTAGGCTGTGGGTTATTTTGGATTAATAAAATCATAATGAAACAAAATTTTCGCCATAAAAGGAAAAAAATAGAAACAAATGCCACAATCGTCTGGGAGAATATGTCTAGTGATAGCTGTGCTTTCGTTTTCTACCTAACACGCACCCAGTTTCAGCCTTTCTCTGTCAGTCCGCTCCTTCTACGACTTTTCAATGGTTGATTTATCTTGCTCTTCAATGCAAAGGAATAGTTGAGACATCAAAGCATTCATCCCATCAGTAGTTCTGCAGGCTACCCCGCACCCAGACTAGGATGAGACCATGTCTTTCAAGTTAGTACTAATCTTCTAAAACCTTTCGTTACTTTTCTTACCACTTTTCTTTCAGAAGGTACACCTTGAACATGTCGTTCTGCTTGGGTGTTTGCTAATGGATGATATGGACTTCGTGACTGTAACCAATAATTGTTTTTTGGCTACATTCTTTCAACTACATCTAAAGAAACTCTATTCTATTATCGGATAGCAGAGTTTAAGAGAACAAAGCTTCTTGAAGATGCGGGCAAGTATTTTGGATGGCATTGGTATTGGTTTCTTGCTTATGGAGATGAGTCAGTGGATATTAATTGAGCAGTGCTACTTAAAGTACCTGAAAAACAACTTATTCTCTATCCCATGAAGTCGGCGTTGGGGGCCAAACTTTATCTTTCCATATGAAGTGATTCTAGCAGCAGTGTGGTATTTGAGGCAGCAAGCAGGTCAAGCAGGTCTCTACCCGTCCATGCCAGTTTTGAATTTTTAGTTTGACAACCTTTTCAGTAAAATCGAATAGAGTTAACAATATACACTGTTTTACGAAGGCCCACATTTCAGGAATCTTCTGGCTCTTTTGATTTTTGAGACTTTGGTTGAAGTGTGTTTTATTTTTTCTGCCATAACTGGAATATTCTGGATAGAGTCTGCCAGAAGGCAACAAATATCCTTTTCGAGGATATGCCGACGATTACTGTTTCCTCATAGGAATAAACAAAGAATTTGAATAACAGTCGAGATAGAATGTTCACAGTAGTTAAAATTTGTTCAGAATCATGAAGACAACCTTGAATGTCACGAAAACAATATTTTATGGATTTTAAAAGAAACTCCTGTGTCCTCAAATCTAACCCATTATTCAGTAACACGTTTCCAATTATATTCAATTAATCTTGGTTCAACAATGATATCATTACGGTGTCCTTGAGTTCACTAATCATATTGTCAATAACGCGATGAAAGATACAGTGGTTGCTTTCTTAATCGAAAATATGTCCGTAAATTGATATAGGCATCTGTGTGTGTTGATGATGAGAAATTCACACCTTTCTGGTTCAATCTCGACTTGTAGATAGACTTTTTGGGCAACCCAACTTCTCAGAGTATGTGCCACCCCTGAGAGGTTCAATTTTATCTCCAGCAAAAGTGATGTAATAGGGATTTTCCTCAGGGAATGTATTCGCATCAATGAAAAATCGAAACATAAACCACAATGGCCTTAATTCATTTAGTGCATGGTAACGGTTATGAAACCATAATAATTTCAATTTACGTCCATTTCTTCTCCATGTCTAGTGTAGCAGAAATGACATTTACATACTTCAGACGGGAGTTTCATTAGCAAACATCGATCCAGGCAGTCCTTGATAATTGGAGCAAATTCATTGATCCTATTTTGCTAATCTTAATCGCCCTAAAGAGAATTATTTATCTTATCAACTTAAATAACCACAGTTTCTCTTATAGTATTTAATCCACTTTATGACCTACGAGCTTGTAATCGATTCAATCAGCTTTGTCAAGGATGTTTTTAGTAAAAATGTTTGAGATTTTCTTCAGCAGCTCCGATTCGTCCATACAATGGTGATTGAGGGAAAACGAATCCGTTAGAAAATATTTTGAAGCAATTTTCGAACTAACTGAAGAATTAAAAAGTGCAGTTAATCTTCGAATTTCAGTGTCAAGGAATTATGAAAAGCGATTCCGCTTAAATGACACTGAGAGAGTTGAAAGACCCAGTAGATTTTCTCACTCATTTGCTGTTTTCCTGAACCATTCGTTGCCTAGCTTCGGCATTTTGTTTTTTATGCTATTTTTTCCACAGACTTTATAATTATGTGTTATTTGAGAAAAATCGGTCCAATGGGTCATCGCGCCACAAAGCCAGAACTGTGATCGCGGCAATAAGTTCTAACCATTTTCCAGCCCATTCCTTTTCAATAATGTCTGACAGTATTATATTCTGACACACCCACATCCACTTGTGTCCTGCTGCATCAAAGCAGAATCCACTCTTCGATATTTGCTACATAAATTCTGTAAAGTGATATTCGATATAATTCGATCACGCTAATAATTCTTACAAAGATATTCGAGTAATCGGGATCTCACAGATCTCAAGGGAATAAATGCATTTTAAACAAGCGCTTTAAATCTTATTTAAGTCCAAGTGTTTGAAATTCCAAGTTATCCGAGCAACAGAATTGATCTAGTGGGGCTCTTATTCACTACTTGACCTTTCAAACACAACCGGAATTCCGAGAAATTCCAGTCGGATTGAAAAGTGCCTCCAAGAGCACCTCTATTTTAGGATTGCAAAAAATCTCCCATTATTATTATAAGTTACCTTGGCGTTTATTAAAAGCCCATCAATTGAACTGTTAGACGTGTGCAAATTCGAAGGCTAAGCATCGCTTTCATAGAACGGAGTCTTTCAACTCAAAAGTTTCCATAGGAAATTGATCTGATAGAAATCATTTTGAATGCCTAGATTTATGCATCAAAGTTTATGTTCTGGCATATTTGGAAAGACCTAAATATCTTTTATTTCTCGGCGAAAACTCAACATCCACTTAAACAAATAATAGATTTTCATGATTGTACCTTAACCATGTCATTTTGCTTCTTCAAACTATCGCGCATTACAAATGATTGCTTCGCAAATAGAGACTATATGGTGCTTACCTATGGGAAAACCCAGAAACCTCATGATTACAGCCTTTTGACCGCCTTACACTCTGGTGCGCTAAGACTACATTTGTACGGTGGGGATATATTTGTCACAATTCTAATAAATATCTTAACATTACCTTCAGAGATATGCTTAGTAATCAAATTATCGACCTCCAAGAGTGTGAAAAGCCCATGGCGGAAGACACGAATTCGATGGTAGTTGCCATCATTTAGTAATTTTCTAGTCTCCTTAAGCTGAATCAAGCCACCACCAAGATTGAAGTCAAGACTGGCCATTCCATCGTTCAAATAAATATGCAAAAAATCGGCGTTGTCTTCTTGAGAGTCGATGTAGAGAAGGGTGTAAAGTGAAGTGGTGAAGGGATTGTCAACTTGAAGACCCAACGCAATTTCATCCCGATTTGTACTTTGCTGATAACGGAGATACGTAAATTTCACGAATATCGGATCATCAGCATGATCAATGCTACTTTTACCAAATTTTATTGATGTGCCAGCTAAAATGAAAAGTAGTTTAGAAAAATATAGATTAATTAGAGCTTTGTATTAGACATTTCAGATACCATCATTCAAAAAATTTCGCCCATTATTTCCACGATAAAATTGTCCCGGTGACTCATTGTTTATTCGAGCCCACTTTAAGGATCATTATCATTATATTTATCACTTATTTTTAGTTCCTATCTCCCTATTCCGTTATTTTTTAAGTATCTTTTAAGTAGTGTTTTAACACGAGCACAATTTAGGTTTGGTCGAAAAGATACACGTTCCATTTAATCTTAAATTGATTCATTTAAAGCATTTTTACCCCTTAATGATCGAAAGTTTTATTTACTTCACTATTACAAACTCTATTTTCCATTAATCAATGGCTAAATAGTTTGACTATTACTTAGTCAAAATTCAGAGAAATTATACTAAGTGTTAGATTATCGCCATTAACCTTTTTCTTCACTCATAAGGTGGTTTGACAAGATTAACAAGATTGTTCGAAAGGTGAAAGTAAGTTAAAATCCAATATATATATAAGCTCAATTTTAAATATTGATCTAAATTCTTAACGAGTCTATCACTACCCAGCGGAATTATTGTTGCTCAGTAGTGACTAGGCAGTTATAAAATAATACGAAAAATGCAAATGTTTGTAATGGCCAATACAAAATTTTATTCCCGAAAGGTGACTTTTCCTTTGGAGATAAAACAACTAAATTGAAGAATCGATTACGTTCTTTGTGATGAGACATAATCTGCGGTAAGACAATTAAATAAAAAAGGAAAACTCTCTCTAATGATAGTTTGATAACTTGGATTTAGTGTGAAAATGGTTAAAATAAACTGAGTTTTAAGATTATTTCTTAAATTAAAATAGCTATTCACGACAATTAACTTATCAAATGGATACTTTTAAAAGAACATTCAATTCTATCATTTCTTTTATTGATTCACATGACTGGATGCGCGCTAATGACCAAGGATCACATAATTTCGCATTTTTTCGACATGTATTTTAACAACTAAGCCATCGACATATCGAAATTAAATATATGCAACAAGGAAACTTACCCAGGTGGCAGCGACTGCCCGTGAAAGTGGTCATTTCACAGGCGCACCTAAGCGACGTCCAAAAATGAAGACAAACGCCACCATTCAGGCAGTATGGAAGACGATTTTTTCGCTCATGTTCAGCACATATTGGCGCCTCAAAGGGTCGATCATGACACCCTTGAACCACCTGGGATTTACAGAAAGCGTTCGTACGGTTCTCTCCCATCACTGTTTCTGCCATTTTCTGCATATCCAATTCTGTTCGATTATTGATTTCAAGACCACCCACACAGCCCTGTTTTTATATATAAATACTACTTTTAAAAAATAAAACGATTAGAACTAACAAAAAATTGCACAAACCAATCAGCGATCGCCATCACTTAGACTGAAAGAAATGTGATGGAAAACTCTTCAGCCTACTTATTAAAAATAGTAGCTTGGTCATAAATAAATATTCACTCCCGTTATTATACCAGATATTAATTATTTTCATTTTTCTTAACAACTGATAGGAGATCATTTACGTGATTTTAATACAGTATGTAGGTTTACATTTTTTATATTTCATTTCCAAATGGTTCAGTATTCAAAATTTCAATTTGTGAGCAAAAATTCCGTTTTCTCAGTTATTTTCACGTTTCCTGTTATGACACAATGTATTTATTTCAACACTGAGCATCACAGATTGACATCTGATAAATATTTCGATTTGACCAGTTATGAGCTTTGATTGATACTGACCTTATATATATTTATCCCTAAATAGGAAAATATCTTGCAAATTAGATCTATTTGAACATTTAGGATAAAGTCAAAAGTAGATATATTTAACTATAATGTTCCCACTCAAGATATCTGAAAAATTGCGTTGTTCGTATTTTAATATAATTTAAACATTTCGAAAATTGCTATGAACGATTTAAAACTTTAGTGTTGCAACTACTTTAAATAAATAAACACAAAGGCTTAAATATAAATTAACTATTAGAAGAAAGTTCTAAGAGTTTTAAAATGAGGTCTCAGTTTACTGAAGAAAGTAACGAATTACTTAAAGCAATAGTTTAAAATTCAAATTTAAAAAATCGTTCTACCTGAAGGCCATATTTTGAGATAATTCTCTCTGAAAACTTGGATTTTACATTGGATGGAATGCCCCCAATGTAAAGTGGGTCCTTAAAGTCAAAATTTCGAGCCGTATTCACCGAAGGAATTGTGATGTTGTGTTCCTCTTCCTCTTCGAATGCGGATTTTATTTTTATTCGCAGATATTCATCCATTTGTCCATTCCTATAAGTTTAGAAAGTAGGTGATAGACTAAATGCCCAGTTTATCTCAATTTTGTACGTCCAATGATTGACGGGTTAACAGAATTTTTCCCAAATTCCAATTGCATTTGATAAATCAAAGTATAAATTCAGTAAATAATGGATGAAATTATAGTGGTAAATAGTTTGAAAAAAAGGAGGATAAGTATCACGAAAGGAAATAATTTCAGTTCAAGTAGTAAAATTGTGCCAACCACTAGAAGGTGCCGCATGTTACAAAGACACGGTCTGAGCTATTTACTGCTCCATGATTTCACACTGCCAACTAGAACACCTTGGTTATGAGAAACCCTTTCCCAGAATCGTTAACTTTCAGAAATTGTTGAAAATTTCAAATGAGTCGCTAACAGAACAGGGCTTTTATGACATACCTAGAGTACAAAGATGTTCAGTCGAGTGACCACGGGAAATCTAACTAATGAGACTTAAAACATTGACAATACGTTAAAAATGACTGCAACCAAATATCTTTTGGAAGCTCAGTTATCTTGAATTTCAGCACATGCTGAAAGATCACAGTAAGAACAACGTTAACAGTACAAAACTAAATCATTCACAGACATAAAATTTTAAAGTAACAGGATGATCTTCTATTATAAACGTATATCATTTAATTTAATCCATAAGATTAATTCTACTTTATGATTACTTTAGCATATTCGGCCAGTGGTATAATTATTATTGCCGTCAAATAAACGAGCATTTTAAAAGGACTAAATAAAACCTTACTGAGCTCAAAATATTGACTAACTTGTTTAGCAAACAAACCAATAAATCGAAAAAATTTGAATGTAAGCAACAACTAAATGATTTCAAACTTTTGATTTTACCTGGAGATGATAATCCGATGCCATCTACCATCACTGAGGCGACCTTGGCCAATTCTTTGAAATTGCAAAGCTGCACCATGTCCCATGTCAAAGGAAATGGTTAACTGCGTATTCACAATTTCGATTAAGATAAAATCCCCTCCTCCAGAGTTGAAAAGAACAATTCCATTTTCCTGCTTTGTCTTTATTGCAAATGATAACCGAAAGGCTCCGTAAATATTTATCCGGGGCAAACGAAGATAGCATTCCGGAGTTTTCAAGGTTACGGCATATTTGACCTGAATTTCAGAAGGCAAAGGAAGCCACTTAAGCATTGGAGTTTCAAGTAAGTATTGAGGATCAGTTAGAGGATCAATTCCAGTGAATTTAAAATTGCGAATTTGTCCAACAAATGCAGCTCTCCTAGTTGATTTCTCTTGCCCAACATCCACTTCCTGAATTCGCATTAGTATATTTGCTGCATCTAAAGCTGTCAAGGAATGATATCATCGAGATTATTAAAACATAATTGATTTTCATTTGTCACAATGCTTTCATGTCATTACGTTATCAAAGACGTAAATTCATAATTAATTTCATTAATAATAGGAAATGCTGTTTGATCTTAAAACTTAATGTTTCTTCCCACACTGAGTATGGACTATCCTTCTGAGTATACCCAAGTTAGAACTCGTGAAAATTCTTCATTGACATCAAGTTGACGGATATTTTTCGCATCTTTTCGCTTTCTTGGTAATGTGACCATAGCACTCTAAACCTGATCGTTGAGCTTTTCTCTGCAATTTAGTCGCTCTTACTTTTTACGATTACTGGAGTGCCCAAACAATCGATATTATTGGAGTCCGAACATTTGGGAGTGGCAGTAGGTGATCAAGTTTATTAGATGTGCTTTCCATGGTTAATAAGTTGAAGCCTATAACTCGATGGTGGATATTGTTAATTTATTCATTTGTAAAATTCTTATTGATACATCCAGTAAAACCCTATGATAATAGACAGAGAAGGACAACACTAGGTGCAAATGTGCATTACAGAGCGAGAGGCAACATTAGTTGTAAGAAGAAGCATGCACATTACCCTCATCCTGAAAATCCTCATTTTCGCCACCCAGATAAACAAATACGGCCATTTCATCTCCATCTTGCCACTGGAGGTTGGAAGTTTCATCTTCTAAAATACCTAGCAAGATAAACAAAATAAACTTTTTGCTGCCAAAAATTCCAGAACCCAAAACCATGGGCTAGAAAAATGGAAGTGGAGGGTAGGGTTGCAAAGAAATGAGGGATCATTGTTAGACAATAAACAATTTTTAAGTCATCTAATCATGTGAACTACTTTTCAGCCTTGAAAAACAGCTTTGAATAAATTCACTCTATCCTGTGACGATTATCTAAGTGTGATTCTAACCCAGGCCCCCAGAATTTTTTCTCAAAAAGTCCCGGTCTAAAGAACTATCACTTTCCTTCCACAAGGCCTACATTTTTAAGTCGGCGTTTTTCATCTTAGTGAAGTCCACTCAATGTGATTGGACCAAGTGTTCAGTGAGTGAAAGACCGCAACGATAAAGACTAAGCTTTCCTATCGAGTATGATGCATTTCATTATACATTCAGAAACTGCTGTCAGGAGAGAAGTCAAGTGGTTGACATATAATGCAGGAGCACAACTTTACCTGAAATACTGCTGTTAATTTGTTATGCAAAGGCTTCTATTTACAGTCAGAGCATGGTACTCACTTTCTATTAATTTCCATTATTTGTGCAACAGAAGCGAGTTAACTGAAACCTCTTAAAGTCAACGCAAATTACTGATATTGAAGGCCCCAATAACATGTCAGACTGATATTTTTTAACAGCATTTTGAGAGCATATTTTAAGTGTCAAAGTAGCTTAAAGGGTCATTTGAAATGGGCAATATTTTAACTAATGTCCTTTTTGGTTTCTCTGAAAGGAAAAATTTATTTATCAATTACTCATTATTTCGCGTGGATTCTTATCTAATTGCTATATGCTCGTATCGTACCTTCATATGCGAATAGTAGGACCAATACGTTCTGCCAACCAAATATTTTCACTAAATTTACTTGCTAGTAATTTCATCTTAACAAAATTTCTAAACAGCATTCTCTCTCCTTAGCCATATAATTAGTATAATCGGGAGAATCCAATTTCTCAAGCTACTAAACACCAAACGCAATTGTAAGGTGTGGGCAAGAGAGAAATTAATTATATGGATTCACGGTTTTATCGACTGTTTGCAATCACAAGTGGGATTAAAACCACTAGTAGATCAAGTGCCACAAAAAATCAAGGGTGATCTAGCTTTCGTTAAAACCTTTTGTCCAGTAGATGGGTGAGGCAAACTTATGTGAAAAGTGGATATGTGTGAAGTCAAGTGAAAATATATCCCATGATGAAGATGATTAAAAGATCTGAAAGAATATCAATTTAAAACACTAGAAAACTTGATGATTCCGGTGTTAAGATGAATGGGGGGGGGGTACTCATTTTCACTGTCTTCCACTTCAACCGGTTAAGCAGACTACCTTAAGGGTTAAAGCTTCCTGTTTATAAATTTTCACATCCATCGTTTTTTTGGATGATGGCAAACTTTGATTATTTAGAGGATGGTATTATTGTTGATGAATTGCTGGAAATAGGAACCTTCTAGATAGAACTACGGTTTTGCCTCAAATGTTCAGATCGATAAATTTCCGCAATTAGTTACGTGCATATGGTGGAAGACAGAAAGCGATATATCAATACAAAATTTAAAATAAATATTTACTCCCCCTCTAGAAAGAACATTAAAAAGAATATGTGATGGCTAATGAAAGTATCATACAAGTCGTTTTTGAATCGGAGGCAAACTTTATTTACAAATAAGAGGAAGTTGATTTCTTTCAAATGTCTGTAATTTAAACTTATTATGCTTTAATAAGACACAGAGACGAATGTGCGGTTTGTGCAAGGTGTAAAACATAAAATAACGAGTTCAATTAAATGTATTTACTGACAGTTAGTGCGCATGTCGACAGTAATTGTGCATACCTTGCAAACCACTCACTTTTTTCGTAGATTGCTGAGTCAAGGCGGACTCTCAATAGAGATCCAGTTCGCAAGATTTTAAGAGCGTGCCAATTTTCATCGGCATTTTGAAATGGTACTTTGAGCGTCTAAATTTGGGCAGAAAGGGAAATGATTATTATCTCTACGTCACAACATTTGAGTTTCATTGTGAGCAAACTTTAATGATATCCACCATCTTTGCACATATTCATTTTTCTATTGTCTATTAATCAATAGTCTTGCTCATCTTGTGGGTGAACTCATTATTACTTCACTTGGTCAAAATTGTATTTAAGGAATTCAGGTAAAATACAGCAACCTCAATGATGGGAACTTGGGGTGCGTGATAGACCTACCTCCACGTGGTGCACCCTGGGCAACGTATACTCATACGGCAAAAAGGTCTGTCAACCGGCAGTTGACTTCTGACTTCAAACTACCATGACCTGACTCCATGTCATATTCGATCATTTTACACGGTACTCACCTCACTTTTTTTCTACCTTTGTGTCTGTCTCAACTTCATCTTTGAAACGCCCTTTTGTTCCCCCCCCCTCTCGACTTTTATCACTTTGATGTTCTTCTCCTCTGTGAAGCTTGAAGTCAGCTAAAAGGGCTAATGATAACTATCAAAACGCCCGCCATTTGAAATAAATAAATGAATAAATGATGGGAACTTTCTGCCTGTTTTCTCTCTGATGTTCTTTGGCCTTAAAAAAATGCTCTTCTGAGCTTGAAAATACAATTCCCTTATCCTTCATTTAATTACGAATATTTAATTGGAATTTCAACTTACATAAAATCCAAGATCCTTTTTAATATAAAAAGAGTCAAAATTTTGCATATTTTTTATGAAAATTTATGCACTTATTAAGCATGACATAGAAATATTTTACCGATTTACGGCATTATAATAACATTGCAATTCAATTGAATCAGCCATTGATATTTTTTAAATTTTGTTCCGTCATTGCTGCAAAAATCCTCCTTTTTTAAAGCCAATCGTGAAAAAAGAAACTTCAGTGAACTGCCTAATCTTCATTTCTCATTATTCTAAATTTAATTAAAATTTCATTTGAATGTCCATGATTTGAGTATTTAAAGGAATATTCAACGGTGTCACTGAATAGAATATATGTTTTATCTATTTAAAGTAGTAAAAAGAAAATGCTTTTACTCAAATTCCAACGATCAACTTTTTCCCTTTCTTTAAAATCGAGTAAGAATCCAAATTTTCGCTGTTTAACCACGCCAAATATACTTTGTCTATTTAGAAACTCAACATGTCTCACTTCACCTTATTGACTAAAAAGCCAGAAATTCAAGACTGATCTCCAGGATCAACATTTTTTCAAGCGATTTATTGGATACAAAGTTGGACTGTTTACCAAATTCTACGCGCAAATTCAGGCATAAGTTGACGCAAAATAACTGTTGTTAACTGTGCTGAATAGGAACGTAACATTGACAATCCATCATTTCACAAGAAGTCAAAGAAACTAAAAAGTGTGCAATAGCCAATCTAAAAACCCAAACTTAATTAAAGGGAACAAATTTCTTCTTGCTCAAAAAAGAATGTTATTGGCATGGTAAGTAACAGAAATATGAACGTAAACGTTAGCTGTAATATTTACTATTTGTAAAATGTCAGAGGTGCAAGTTATCCTATTCCTTAGTCATTAAATATTTAGAAATTTTATGTAGACAGTTTGCTCTAAACTGTGACATTTTTAAATAGAAATATAATCGTTATGAATCTTTACGAAAATAATAATTTTAAAGAAATCATTAAACTTAAAATATTTACTATCGTATACAATTAAATAGCAACAAATTTAAGCAAAAAATATAAGTTTAACGGATAGTTGAACACCAAAGAGTGCTTTTTTATATGTGAAAACCCAATAAATTGATCATTTGTCAATAGGAAAATTCAAAATCTCACCTATCGGCTTTAATTTCACTCAGAAATTAGAAATTGGCATAAAATAGAATGATACAAAAATGGAAAGAAGTTAATTAATCTAGTTTTTAATAAACAATGAAAACTTATTCTTAAAACTTTTACATAGAAATATGATAACGCTAATTTTAACTAGAGTTGGCGGTTTGAGTTTCTTTTAATCTTTCACATATAACACCATATCCTATTTTTCCATGTAGATTACTTTCTGGCTGACATGTAAGGTCTTCTTCTTCACTTAGTCCTCCAGTAAATATAATAATTTTACATTTATATTTGATTGAGATAAATAAATTCTTTTACCCATTTAAAGAGAATGTGTAAAGATATTCAAATTGAAAAATAACTTTTTAATTGCAATATTCACGGTATTTATTTTATGTTCGGCCTAAAATTCCATGGTTTTATAATAAATCATATTAACAATATTCATTTGTAAATTTCATATTGTCTTTAAAATTTCTTTTCTCAATAATTATCATGCTTTGGTTACCTAATTAAAATTTTTTCAAACTATTATCTCGTACTGAATTTTTTCGCAAGAACTGTCATTGGCTCGAACAGTTCTTTTTAATTAAGGAACGGAATTTTATCTAATAGCAATGATTAAACGCTAATGAATGTTGATAAACGGGAATTCTATTGATTAATTAGGACGCGATTAGTTGAGTTAAATAGTAATGAAAATCCAAAGAAAACTTTAAAATTCATTTGGGATTAGGACTTGCATCCATTGGAATTCGCCAACATATAACATATTACTCTCCAGACAGTATTACACTTATAGACATTAGTGCCCACTGGTCTCATTTTTTCACTTAAATAACAATAACAATAATGTTGGCACTATGTTTTAACATATCAATACAGGCATATTAAAATATTTAATACAAGATTTTTAGATAAAAGAAGAGTTCTAAGGAGCTATTTTTTATTGTCTTTTGCCAGATCGTTTAACTTACATTAATTTCGCCACTCAGATTTATATCAACAACTAGTAGATCTTCGGTGAGATAGACGCACATTCCGTCGGGATGAATAAGTCCAAAGGTGTGACTTCTCGGTGAGTAGATACTCTGTGAGTAGGTGGACAGGAGGGTCGTGTTGCGCATTTTTGTCCTGAAAGCAAATTGAATTTCTATCGATTCCAGTTGGTGCCCAAGAGGATATCGCATTCGCAGTTGCCGTTTAGCGTTGAAGTCCAGAATACTTGCAGCTATGCAAAAAGAAAAGATAAGACCACTCTCGTCAAAACTTATTTGCCATTGTCTAATGAAAGTCATGAAGTCACAAATTTTGTCTTGTCGAAGTATTTAAGCTCATTAATTAACGTATTATTTCTTTTGCATATTAAATTGCATCTTACATTACATTTTTTTATGAAATAACTTTAGGAAATACGAAAAGCGAATAAATGATTTGATTTCCATATCAATTTGGACTTTCAAGTTTTTTTAACCTAGTTTATTTCTTAGTGAGTGAATTTCTTATTGTGTCGTTCCATGTTCTCGTTGTATTCCAACCTATTTATTGGCTGTGGAGTCCGACTTACTGGGAAGACTTCATTTCGGATTCAGTCTAATTTTTACATGATTAAATTAAGTTTGAATTTATTGGGTGGGCAACTAAGTCATTGCCGTTTTTGTTGACAGATTCACTCTATAATTTCTTTTGTTTTGTTAACGTGGCCAGAGCATCTAACCTATATTTTTTCTTACTGTATAGGCTTCTAGGTTAATTAGTAAAAAATGTTTTTGTTTAGTTCTTTAGTTTTGTTTTTATCCCAATTTAAAAATGAAAGAACAGGACGTGCACTTCCGACTCATTTTATTGTATTACTTCCGAAAAGGCAAGAACGCATCGCAAGCACAAAAGAAGTTATGTGCCGTATATGGAGATGAAGCCTTAAAAGAAAGGTAGTGTCGAAATTGGTTTGAAAGATTTCGTTCCGGTAATTTTTCACTGAAAAATTCACAACGATCTGGCCGCCCAGTCGAAGTGGATGAAACCCATATCAAGGCCATTATCGATTCAAATGGTCACAGCACAACACGAGATATTGCAGAGAAGCTGCTCAATGTCGCATACATGCATTGAAAAAAAATGAAAAACCCTTGGTTATGTCAAGAAACTTGATTTATGGATCCCTCACCAGTTAAAGGGAATTCATTTGACGCAACGGATTAGCATCTGTGATTCGCCGCTACTGAAACGCAATGAGAATGATCCATTTCTGAAG